AATTTATTTGCTAAGCTTATAAAAGTAACGCTAATACCACTAGTATTAGTAATGGGAATAATAATAACAATAATAATAGTAGTAGTAGTAGGAGTAGGGGTAGTAGTAGTAGTAGTAGTAGTAGTAGTAGTAGTAGTAGTAGTAATAATAATAGTAGAAGTATTGATAGAAAGGAAATACAGATTTGTTGACGTGAAATTTTAAAAATATTATCAGTATGAAATTTCGCAAAAACATTGGTATGAAGTTTACACTTGGAAATAATTGTTTGGTTACAAATATACGGTAAATGGTTTTTACCATTTCCCTTTTCCTATTTTTATCAATTCAATATGTTTGTTTTCAAAAATACTGATCAAAAATTATTAGTTGAAGGGAAATTTTTGAAAACATTTCAGTGAATTATATGATAAAATGTTAGACAAATTCTTCTTTCATATTTTACATTTAATTTGCATATTTTCAGTTTTATCAATCTGCTCCAATTCGGTTTTTCTTGATTTAAAAAAGGAAAAACGATTATTGGTTAATTTTAGTTTGTGATCAAAAAGTTTTGAAAAAATTACAAACTTTATAAAGTATTATAATTCAAAATATATTCTATTACTACTACAATAATGGAGAGTTATTTCTTTCGTTTTTTTTACTCCTAAAATTGATTAGTTCCAAAATTAATTTGTCTTTTGGTTTGTTTTCTTTCCTCTGTATAGCTCTCTTTCCCCCTCTTTGTTTTTCTTATTATTACCTTTCATATATGGACTATAAATTATATTCAGTTACGGATATGTCACGTAAAAGTTAATAAAAAGAGGAAAGGAAAAAATGCAAAAGATCAAAGTACCAAATTGGAAGATGAAAAAAGCGGAAAAAAAGGAAAAAGAAAGAGAGGAGAGGAAAAATTAGAAAGCAATTTATTTTGTTTTTTTATTTTCTTTTTTTGTAGTTTAGTTTTTATTAAATTTATTTAAAAAATAGTTGATTCCTTTCCCCTCCTTTTTCTTCTCGCTCTCTCCTCCTTTTCGTAGCTTTTTTTTTTGTGCTAAGGTCAAATATTTCTATTGTAAAATTTAATTTATACAAAAAAGCGAGATAAGGAGAAAAAAGAACAAAAACAAAAATTGAAAATTTATTAAACTAAAATATTTTTGTCCAAAAAAAATTTTGCCTACACATTTTTTTGTTTTCGTTTCTTTCTCTTTCTCTCTCTCTCTTTCTCTCCTTTTTTCTTCATTCTTTTCTTTCGCTTCATTCATTCTTTCATCCATCAATTTCAAGGAAAAAAAAGCAAACGAAAAATTCCAACGATTTTATTGCTTTCATCCTTTTTACTTTGCAATTTTTCATATTTATCGAAAAATGTTTAAAATTGAAGTTAAAAAAGAAAAAAAAAGCAAACAATGAAACAAAGAATTTGCCATTCTGTTCTTTTCTTTTTCTCTCTCTCTTTAATATATTAATTTCACCTTTTGTTATATTTTAGTTTCATTTCACTAAAAAAAAGAGACGAAGGAAGTAATGTTGTTCATCTGTTCAATATTTCATTTTGCAAAAAAAAAGAAAATTTCTACTTAATTACACCTTTCTTTTATTTAATCATTCTATTTAATTGTTCCACTTAATTTCTATTCAATTGCTGATGGAATATTCCAGATGATCAAAATTTGTGTCACAATTATTTTGATACTTATGCCATTATTGGTTGTTTTTCTTCGTGCACATATTCCCAAGGTTCCTTTATCTTTTTTGTCGCCAGATATTCTTATTTGTTTTCTTGTTTTACGTAATTCTATTTTATAAAACAACGAATATTTGTTATAAATTATGTTGACATATATTCTATTAATGATTCATTAAGTGTGATGTAATAATCATTTCATTATCTTTTACATATCTATTCCTGTTACATATTATAATAATTAATAATATTCAATAAATTTTCCTTTTTTGTTAACTTTAAATT